ACTTTTCGGTGGCATAGAAGTTTCGGAAAAACATAAACGTTATAGAATAAAATTGGGTAGCGTAGATAAACGGTATAATTGCGAAATCAATGTATTGGATGAAAGAAAAATATGTTCTTCGGTCCCTAAAATCAAAAATATACACTGGATTAGGGAACTTAGAAGAAGAGGAATTTACGTCAGTGATGTTTTTGAAAATTGCAGATTATTTCCAGGAGAACCCCCAAGAGATTCATTTGTTGTTAGGGGCATGTTGCTGCAAATTTATTTACAGGTAAAATCGAAGTTCTTCCTTGGGGAAGATTAGTTGCTGTAAGTACAAGACTTGGGTGGACAGTCATGGGGAAAGCGAACACTGACAATTATGAAATAGAAAATTCCTTTTCCACGCTTTCGTTATCTTTACATATTTCTGATGCCACGCTGTCAGAACTGTGGAGGCTTGATGTTATCGGAATAACAGATCCAGTTACAAAAAAGGCTAGAGAGGAAAGGGATTTGCAAGCAAAATTGCAGTTCGAAAATTATTCTGTATCTCTAAACGAAGAAGGGGCGTTATGAAGTCGCACTTCCGTGGGCGGAGAATCATGTACCACTCTCCACTCTCCACCCACAAGGATTTAGCGTTGAAACGTCTACAATCTACCACCCAGAAACTTTTATCTCAAAATTTATTTTCTTCATACAATGCAGTTTTTAATGACTGGTGTAACTTAGGAGTGATCGAAGAAGTTAAAGAAAATATTGCGATTGACTATGGACATTATTTGCCACATAGACCGGTGATCAAAGAAAATAGCTCAACACCAATTCGACCGGTGTTTGATGCGTCTGCGAGGAAACAATCGTCTCCTTCTCTAAATCAGTGTTTGGAGTGTGGACCAAATTTGATAGAACTAATTCCTTCTCTTTTGTTGAGATTTCGGGAAGGCAAGTTTGCTGCTATAGCAGACATTGAAAAGGCTTTCTTACAGATCAGTGTAAAGCCTCAAGATAGAGACTGGCTTCGGTTTTTCTGGTGGAATGATGTGGAAGAAAAGAAAACGAAAATATTTCGTCATACTAGAGTAGTATTTGGGGTTAAGAGTAGTCCTTTCCTTTTGGCAGCTGTTATAGAATTCCATCTACAAAAGTACATGAAAAATTCTTCATATGATACGGAGATGATAGCTAAACTCTTGCGTAGCTTCTACGTAGATAACGTTGTTGCCAGTTTTGACAAAGAATCCGAGATGATCCAGTTCATCGAAAAATCTCGAGAAATAATGTATGAAGGAAAGTTTAATCTTCGAGGTTGGTTACATAACGGAGATAACTTGAAACAGGAAACTATTTCACCCGTATTGGGTCTGTTATGGAACTCTCAGAAAGATAATTTAACTTTGAATCTGAATTGGCTAGAAGATTTTGAAATGGGTATAATAACGAAGAGAACAATTCTCGCTGTAACACACAAAATATTTGATCCTATTGTAATTGTGAGTCCTGTTCTCTTGTATCCTAAAATATTGTTGCAGAACCTATGGAAAACAGGAATTTCTTGGGATACTGAAGTCGACGAGAGTACAAAACAAAATTTTGTGAATTGGTATAAAAGCCTTTTTCTCTTAAAAGAAATATCCCTCCTACGTTGGATACATTCCAGCAAGGACAATAGGAAGTTCTGCAGCATTCAACACTTCTGTGATGCCAGTAGTAATGCGTATGCTGCTGCAGTTTTCTTGAGAACTGTGACGAATTCTGGAGTTGAAGTTCATCTGTTGGCATCGAAGTCTAGGGTAGCTCCCGTATGAAATCTATTACGATCCCTCGTCTGGAATTGATAGCTGCCACGATAGGTGCCAGACTATGCTCTTCTGTTTTAAATGGTTTACAATGGCAAAATGTGGAAACGCATTTTTGGACGGATTCTACAACAGTTTTGACGTGGATTCAAAGGGAAGAGATTGCCTGGGCTGCCTTTGTGGAAAACAGAGTCAGGGAGATTAGGAAACTGACGGATCCAAAAACGGGGAAAAATATTGCTGGAACAAAAAATCAAGCTGACCTCCCATCAAGAGATTGCACCGCCAAACAACTTTTAGTAGTTAGATGGTGGGAGGGCCCCAACTGGCTGAAGAAAAATCAGGAAGAATGGCTTAGACAAAGGGAAATACCGGACATGGAAATAGTGAATTCAGAAAAAAGGAAATCAGTCATTTCTGCACTAAATACGCAAAGGGTAGAACATTTTTTTGAGAAATATTCATCTTACCATAAAATGTTAAGAATAACTGCTTGGATATGCAGATTTATCAACAACTGCAGAAGACCAGATTCTAAACAATCAGGAGAACTCACGGTCCCTGAAATAGAAACTGTAGAAAAGAAAATATGCAAGATAATACAAATAGAAGCATTTGGCAAACAACTTAAGTTAGCAACCTTTGTACCTTTTTTGACTCAGATGGCCTTATTCGGTTAAAGACCAAGATTACTAAAGAAGAGAGAGGAAGAAGAAAATTTTCTCTGTCCAATTGTATTGCCCTCAAATCATGACTTAGTTCATAGGTTAATTTTAGATTACCATTTGCGACTATCCCACGCTGGTGTGTGCAATTCGTACTAGCCAATATTCGACAGAAATTCTGGGTCCTGAGAGGAAGAAAAACAGTACGTAAAGTTATGAAGTGTGTTCGCTGTAGAAGATATAGCGCAAAGAATATAGAGACTGTTCCAGCACCTCTTCCTGAAGATCGAGTTACGAGATGCTCTGGTGTTTGAAGTGACCGGAGTCGATGTAGCCGGTCCTCTTTATTTACGAGGAAAGGAAAAAAGGCATGGATCTTGCTCTTTACTTGCGCGGTCTATCGCGCGATACATCTTGAGCTGATAGAAAGTTTATCAACAAATGCGTTCATCTTGGGATTAAGGAGATTTATTGCCAGAAGAGGTCGTCCAAGGTATTATTTACAGCGACAATGGCACTAATTTCGTTGGAACTGAAAATCTGTTAAGATCGATAGATTGGAAAGAAATAGAATGTCATTCAACTAGTATGAGAATACAGTGGAAGTTTAATCCCCCAACTGCTTCATGGTGGGGCGGTTGGTGGGAGAGGTTGGTGCAACAAAGTGAAGAAGATGTTGAGAAATGTTCTCGGAAAGTATTGTGTCCTTGTCTGACTACTCCGAGGAAATGTTGACTCGAATACTTTGATATCGTGAATCCGTTAACTCAAGACCCCTTACACATACCTTTCAGAAGATCCAAATGATCTTACGGCACTAATTCCTTCAATGTTTCTACAAGATGTGCACGACGTCGGAGTGCCTGACTTAGACCCTGGACCTGGATACCATTAATCTGACAAAAAGATACAAGTTCTTGCAGAACTTAAGAGAAAATTTTCGCAAAAGATTTCGTGATGAATATTTAGCTATCCTAGTGCAAAAACCATCTAAACGATCTACTCGGACTATCAACAAAAATGACTTGGTGTTTGTCGGCAGCGACAACAAGAAGAGAATAGATTGGCCAATAGGTCGTGTTGTAGAACTATATCCTGGGAAAGACAACGAAGTACGTGTTGTCAAAGTGAAAACTGCAACGGGTGAACTCCTAAGACCTGTGAAACGTATTTATTCCTCTCGAACTTGATAGACCTAACTTGTTAGTGACTTCATCCATGAAGAGAAAAAACTCTGCCGATAAGTGTGACAGTGATATGAACTATCAAACTAGATATGGACGTAAAACTGTAAAACCTGTTACATATTTTTAAATTGCTATACAATTTTTGTTTTCTTTCATTCAGTATTTTAGGAAATTTAATTGTCCTAACAGTAGTCAATTGGAACATGTTATCTGGATATGGTATGAATGTAGTGCAGAAAATGTATAGATGTTAATCCTTCTTTGTAAGTATTAATTTTAGAGCATTAGTTACTTTTCATATTTGTGAAAGTTGTACTTGAATTTTTGTTTGATTATTGATACATTTTGTTTTGATTTTCCCATCTTATTGAGGTAAAATCAAAAGGTGGGAGGATGTCACATTCTTGCCACCAGGTGGCGGGCATCTCTTCCTTTACTTTTGCTGTAATTAAGTTCCGAGAACCAGTCGAGATTGGAACCGCTCTGAGGAGCGTAAAGACGAAACCTCAGAACTAATTAAAATGTACTGTCTTAAAATAATTATCACCTACCTTGTAAATAGTGTATATTAGCTTTTATTTCAATAAACAATTAAAAGACAAGATGGGCCTGTTAGCATTGTAATAGAAACTCTTACTGAAAACGTGATTATTAGAAGCCTGGCGTCGAGAACACTGAAGATGCAGCAGGTAAGGAATTTTACATTAATTTTATTGTAAATAGAAGAACCTGATGCAACAAGAATATTTGTTTGCACATTCAGAAATATCATTTGTAACTGCGAATTAAAGGCAAGTTTGCGGATAATTTCGTTGATATTTAATGTGCTTTTTATGCAAAGTAAATTATAATATTCTGTATATCTTACTACGTTTATTTGTTGAAATGATTTGAAATATGATAATTATATATGTCTTTAAATGCTAAATTTTAAATGCCATTACTTAATTAATTGGAAAATTAAAAGTATATTTCTGAATCCATGCGTATATACATGTCCGGTTATAAACTTCTAACTCTCGTTTTTAGAAGCTTAAATTCATTATTTCAGGGGTCAAAATAATATTTTAAGAAAAAAGTTTTTTTTTTTCACTTCAGAGTTTCAAAAGCACAATATTTTCATTTAAGTATTTAAAAAGAGGGTTTTACATCTCTAAAGTACTTTTGCTTTATAATTTCTAATTATGAAGTTTAAATATCTTACTTTAATTTTGATACTCCAACTTTTTTAGTTTATATCACACTGATGACATCATAAATTCGATTTGGCAACTTTGCGACAGCTTACTAGATTGCGTGATTAAATTGTTAGTTACAAATCGATTTTTAATGCAAAATAAACTACTGTTTCAATTTAGACTTACCATTGTTAACCTGATCACAGCAGCGCTGCAAAAGGGTGCAACAGAAGTTATAGAAAATTGGGATTCCGCATGATCCGCAAGCAAAACTTTCGGCTCCGGAAATTAAGGATACGAAAAGTATAAATAAAACGAAAATGTTGTATATTCTTCTATACGTTCTCATCATCCTCATTGGGTCCGGCATTCTTTCTGCACACAGAAAATTTCAGAAACTCAGATATGTTTATATATTTTATTGTACAAATGAATTTAGAGTAATATAAAATAAAAATTCAATACAAAATTCTGCAGGCTAAACTACAAAGCAAAGAAAGCTGAAGCAACGTACTTTAATAATTAATTTAAATAATTATCTTAAAGGTAAAAACGCTAATAACATTATTAAGAATTAAATGTAATGTAACCTCGCTTATTCGTCTGTTTCAAGATTATAGACATACCGGATAAGAGAATAAGCCGAGAACAGGAACTTCTCTCTCTAAAAAACACCACCAGCAGATACGGGCAGTCGATAACGAAGAGCCAGTTTAGCATAGTGCGAATTAAAAAAAATCAGAGTTAGAGTTGAAAATGAGTCCCATTATAGCTCCTTATTTTGATTACTATAGTTTACAGTAAAATAGTAATATGTAGAATTAATCCAAAGCAATATCTAGCGGCAACCGGGTAAATATAAAATGTCTTTACGCTCTAGAGTCTAGAGACTACTTTAAATTTCTAACAGTTATATTAAGTTTAAACATGCTTTACTGTGTATTCTCGTTTCCCATCTACTATTCCCTACCAGAATACGTTTTTAGTATCGCGTTGTATGCAAAGGAGAAGGAGTATTTAAGGAAGGTTCACCTTACTTCGAAAGAGAGAGCTTATGAGTCCTTAATGGCGCGTATTTGCCGTCTGGCTACTTCGTTTTTTAGTCTACTACGTTCGACCATATTGTACGTGCCTGTTGATAATCGCCGGCTATGTTAGATTAAGGGTCAACTACGTTAGGTATTTATGTCTAGCTTCGGCTAAGTCTGTTTAGTTTAGTATTAGATTAGTTTCTTATCTCGAGTTAAAAGCCCGAGTGGAGGCTTTCCTGCAAGCCCGAGAAGGGGGCCATCTATCAATATTTCTTTGAGTGAATAAAAGGGTATTTTAATCCTTCCCTGAACTTGGTTATTATACACATGAACTCAGCGATAAGTCGCTCTACAGTTCATTAGGCTCTCTTACGTTCTACATAGACAAAGTACCAAGGAACTTTAAAACGTGACTTACTAACACCTCTTTTTATTGTACAGGGTAAACATTTCCTGTTGAAATTTCCTGTACTGAAGTGTACACAGTTAGAAATGGATAATTCTCACAGTGTGTCCTTATTCCAATCTTGTGCAGGAGCCTTGGTGATTTTTTATGTATTGTTCCAGTTTTATGATATGTACTAACGAAACAACTACAACCCTCATGACATATACAAGACAAGGCGAAAATGTTTGCAAAACAAATTCCATTCTTTCACAGTATCAGATTTTAATTCATGGAGAATTTCTGAGAATCTCATGTAGATCTGTCTAGAATTTCATGAGGCTGAGGCCTGATGAATTAACTAATTTAACATGTATGTGCAAATAAGATCCGCTGCTAGACATACACGCTCATACGTATCTGAAAATGCCTTGAAATAGCTCTTCGAATCTCCAATCGACTAAACTAGATATCACTCTGCCACGACTGAAAGCAGTAACTATCCAGAACCGTCAACGTAAGTGAACCAATCGCCCCGTTGGTCGGAGAAAAGAATAAAATGCCATGAACTCGACAAATACCTGATATGCATATTTTTCTAGACAGCGGTATATCAGCTCACTAGGCATCTTTTCAAGTTCTCTTCGAACTTGTATCTCTAATGCAGATTCTGCATAATATACGTACAACACATTTGTAAAGAATATTAGTATTGGAATATAACAGTGTAACAGTGAATATTAGTATTGTAATATAACATATAGTATTGTACTTATATTATAATTGTATTGTATCGTTATATGTATGCACTTGTAATAGTGCACCAGTGTTTTAATACTGAGAAAGGCACAATATTTTTAAGTGCTTAACTAATGAATTTTATCATATACTGTATAGTATTATATGTGTAATAGTTTATTATAGTAATGAGTAATACTTGATTGCCATGTACCTATTTTTAAATGAATACATAGCATATCTGTAGCAGTATACTATTTTAGGAACCCAGAAAAAGGCAGCACTGTTTTTAAACAAAAAGAACAGCACATAAACTGCCCCTCTTCAGCTTAATTCCTTACACTGTACTTTGTGGCACTTGTGTACCGAAGTGGACCAGCTGCTCACATTGTGGAGTAAAGTAAAATAAAAATAAAGGCATTCGTACGTCTAACATGACATCACTCTGTTCTATAATGCCTTTTCCAACTTAGTTTGCCGCTTTCTCTCATATCTGAGAAGTAAAAAGGTTTGCTTGATCTTTACCGGACGTCTGAAAAATCTTTTTTTTAAAACTATTTTATAGTTTGGCTGTTTGTCATTTGGCATTAGGATGGCTAGGAGAGGTTTGAAATGTTAATGATTTCATACATATATAATACAACATTTCCTCAGTTATGCATGCTATTCTAACTGATTCTAAAATTTTATAGTCATCAAGCTATCCTTCATTCAGATTGGCCAGACTCTAGCCTACCGACGGCCTTCCATCTCCAACTACAAATCTAAACGTTGTCAGAGTTATTCAATTCCCATTTAATTTATCTTAATTATTACCCCAAATTTAAAAATTAAGCATTATAATTAAAACATACTTTCATTAATGAGGCTTATATTTCACTAACAGATTTTGTAGCCTTGAAAGCCGAAATATGTGCATTATTTTCAATATGCAACTGCAATATTATTGGCAGTTGTAATATTTGCATTATTTTCAATATATTGGGAGTTTCAAAATATTTGCAATATTTCCAGTTGAGAATTTCAAAATTTTAATGTCATATGTCCGCTAAGCATGATAGAATGTTAAACAAAATACATACTTTTCATTATATGTATTCTTAAACGGAACTTTAATAAAACTCTTTAAAGTTATCCTGTTAAACTTTAATTTCACTTAGCACAGTAGTTTGTATAATTTCGTAATACCTTTTTAAATATTTACCGTAAAACTTGAGCTACAGCTAAGACTTCTGTGGATACAATATTGGCCTTATACCAATAAAAGGGTATTTTAATCCTTCCCTGAACTTGGTTATTATACACATGAACTCAGCGATAAGTCGCTCTACAGTTCATTAGGCTCCCTTACGTTCTACATAGACAAAACACCAAGGAACTTTTATAACGTGACTTACTAAGACCTCTTTTTATTGTACAGGGTAAACATTTCCTGTTGAAATTTCCTGTACTGAAGTATACACAGTAAGAAAAATAAAACAAAGTATTATTAGACAGAATAAAACAGCCTTCAAAATAAAACAAAGTATTATTAGACAGAAAAGTAACCTTAGTGTGATTTAAGTTTTGAATAAAACTCAATGAATTTCGAGAAAGATCAAGCCTATTCCTGTGTCATTTGTCGCTTGAAGTTAATTAATGCAGAATAAGAGAAAAAGATAGATCTTAAAATTTTCATTCAAGTGAAAGGAAGGAAGATATAATTTTCCGAAAACAAAATAAGATATCTGATGAAATAGTAAAAGATATTAGTAAGTGAGAAAATGATTAAAATCAAACATATTACAAATTTCCAAGGATTCGAGCAAATCTAATTACATTTATTCGGATGATGCATAATATATAAATCATCGAAGTAAACTTTTTAAAAGTCAAAATACATTTCGCTAAAAATTATGGAGATGGGGGTAAGGCATGTTTTCCTCTCAGAATGCCGAGGCATATACTATAGAAACTAGGCCTAAAAACACAGGCCTGAATCTAGACCTGAAAAAAAAAAAATGCTGTATGATGCAGTAATATGAGCGATGGTTTCATTTTCCAAAACATTATATTAAAATATAAACATAATATTCTGCTTGGGAATTTTTTTTCTGTTTCGTAGAAGAAACTAATGCTTTATAACCATGGCTGTTACAATCACGTGACGACGGCCAGCTGAAAACGTGCGGATCATGGTAAAGTAGATAAAATTACAAACATAATACAACTACAGAATAAGGTAAAAAGTAGAAACTTCGAAACTATAAAATAAAATCTATAAACTATAAGATAAGAACTATTAACAAAGCTATAAAACAATAAATCTTAATAATGTTTACGTTAAAATATGAAGTAGTATTTACAGGAGGTAGAAGTAGAAATTAATACCTCATTGCATTTAAAACTATGCTCTAGTTTATTCCCTGAAAAAGAGACAAACCATTAGTTTTTTTAGCCTAAGGGCGTTAGACCAGAAGGGCTATTAATTTCGTTTTGACATTTTGCATTCAAAACTTTAAATGTCTGTTTCACATTCCAAATTGTTGCCACCAAATGCCTTGTGTTATATTTAAAGAAATATTGAATAATGAAGAATCTGCATAAATGTATGTATGTTTCTCGCATAGTGATAAACTCGCATTGTGAATTTGTTTTATTATCGATTTCATATTTTGTAATACTTTAACGAATTTTTGATTGACAAACTCAACGATTGAAAAGCGAGCAATGGTAACACTGTACGGAAAAAAAAATCATCTCCAGCGCGCGAGTCTGTGTATCGAAAATTCTAAAGATATGCTCATTTTAAAATTATTTTGCGATACTGCTGTTGAAATGAATTTTATCGTTTAAGTACGAAAAACAGCATATTTAATAAATAAAGGTAACGCACAAAACGTTAAAAAAGCCCCTTTGAGCGTAATATAAAATCTGAAAGGGTTTTTCTTTCTTTTTTCTTTTTTCTTTTTTTTTTTCTTTTTTTTTGTTAACAAACTGAACGATTTAAAAGCAAGCAATGGCAACACTCTACGAGAAAAAAAAACCTTTTTATCTCCAGCGCTCGGAACTGTATATCGGAAATTCTAAAGATATACTCATTTTAAAATTATTTTGCGACATTGCTGTTGAACTGAATGTTATGGTTTAAGTGTAAAGAACATCATATTTAATAAATAAAGGTAACACATAAAACGTTAAAAAAAAGTCCCTTTGGACGTAATTTAAAATCTGAAACCTTTCAGATTTTTACAAGAGTTTATTTAATAATTTTTTTCTTATTAAATTCATTTAAGTCTCTTATTTACGCATAGACATGAGCAGTTTTAAAATGAACTTAAAATTTAAATTTACTATAAATTCATAGATTTTTTACAATTGTTATATTCTGAAGCAATGAATAATCCTTAATATATAAATAAAAGAAATCTTTCTAGCCCTCGAAACACACACACACACACAAAAAAAAAAAAGGAAAAAAAGAACATTTTGTGCATGTTTTTCATACAAGATAGTAATCTCGTTCTTTGTCCTATTTTATCTCAAACTTTTCGTACTTACTGTGCATTTATGCCAAACTTAAATACTCATTGAAAAATTATAAGAAGCAAAGCCACATATTGATTTAATGAATTTTTTAATATGATACTTTTGCTATAACTAAGCAGATGAAATAAAATTTGCAACAAAGCAAAAAGATGTATTAAGAAAATATATTTTTCTCCCATTTATAAATTCTTTAATTCCATACACTTCTTTTATTTAATACATTTAATATTTGGTCTCATGACTTATTTTGATTTCACTTAAATCGTTTGGGATATGTTCTGAATAAATTGTATTCAGTATACATAACATTTTATGAACATAAGTTCAATATATATAATATTTTATACATATCAGCAAAGAAAACAAATTTTATCCTAAGCAGAACTAAATACTAAATTAAAAAATAAATAACTGTAGAATGTTCTAATCCCTTCTGACTATTAGCTAGCTTGCTGTTACATTTATACTATCAAAACTATAAATAGGGCAATTAATAAAACAATATGAATAATGACTCAATGATTTAGAAACTTTGTAAACGTATATAAATAATGCTGCTGAATATGGTAAACAACTGTCTTGGAAATGACATTTTTATCGTGATATTATCCAGAATGTTTTGTAAATGCTTAATTATTTTGATACCATTATTTTGTATTATTATAATTTAAAATAAACATAATGCAATTGATATTATATGTAAAAGAATTTAACATACCACCAAGCAAGCAGAAGAGATCGCAAATAGTTTTTCTCGAATATATCTCTAACTGTATTTAGGAAGAAGAAGAAGAAAATGCTACCTTACAGGAATTCCGAAACAAAGTGGCCTTCCTGATCGGAAAACAAATATTTAATTTGTATGACAAGACAATATCTGAAGGAATCTGCTTCGCCTGGATCGAAGGTTGTGAAAAACCTATTGAGGAAGTGACGAAATGTACTTAGAAAACAAGCTATTATTTTTCTCATCAAACATCACAAGGAACAAAATGCAACAAGAAGAGAAAACGATCGGTGTGAATGAATGTGACATCGTTTGACACTGTTGCCGCAATGATATAAAAAAGAAAAACATTAGCAGAGAATTTAAGGCGTATAAAAGCCGTACCTTCTCATTGACAGAGAATGGTCTGAAGTGTTGCTACTTCAAAAATGTTAACAAGTTCCTTTTCATAATTATCTCTTTTCATGATGGATATAAATTTTAAATTAGCTATCTATTATTTGCATCGCAGTTTGTAACTTAAAAGCGTCCACTTTTTATATAAAAAATTAAATTATTATGCTCTGTAAAATATTTGTAAAGTGATAAAAATAATATGCTGAAATGCTTGGCGTAAATTGCGATTTGAAGCCAAAAAGTAATTGTTGAAAGTCAAGGTTTATTCGCATTTAAGTGCGTTTAAATCTGTTTTTCACACTTACACTACGTGCAAAATTCCATATCTAAATTGCAGTCATGAATGACTGAATTTATGCAGACTGAAATGAAGCAAAATCTCCGACGTAAATCTGTTCTATTGTACAATATTTTAAATCTTTTCAATAGGTATCCTGATGTCTTAATGTTTTTGATATTCCCAGACATTCACAAGTAAATAAAGTGACAAAAAGTATTATTTATTTTATTTATTATTTATTTTATTTATTTATTTAAAGTAGTATTTATTTTATTCCTAAGCCGCATTCAAAAACTAAAGACATGAACATCGCGAATTTTGATTTTCTATCATTACTTCAATAAATTACTAATATTTTTTTAAGAATGTAAAGTTCCAAATTTATAATTAGTGTTTTAATTTTAGATTTGAAGGCGTTATTCAATTAAAGAAAGCATGTCGTGATTATTTCGACCGCTCATTTCTAAAATAAACGTTATTCAATTGAAACGAAGCATATTATGATTATTTCTACGCCCTTTTCTAAAACAAAAATACTTCCGTATATACTTGAACATAAGCATAGCTTCTTGAAAGACAATTGCGGAAAACCTGATCGCAGTAATTTGCGCGTAAATAATTTTCGTCGGTAAAAGTACCCAAAAAATCTAAAACGTTTAAATAAGTTTTTTAAGTTGAAATTGAAAATGTAAATAAATGAATACAAGAAAATACGAGAAACCGCGTATAATATATTTTGCAGAAATTGTTCAAAAAATGTAGAAGTGGGTTAGTTGATTTTAACACAGCACACTAGGGCTATCTGCCTTTGGCAGAAATGCCTTCCTGAGGGAAATTTGCTGGTATTTACTTTGCATACGCGACAAAGTACGAAAACACCCATGCAGCAAGCATGCTTGCCTACATTGCCAAATTTTTGAACTTGCCAAGATAACTGTCTTAAATCTCTCCGAAGTACCGGGGCACTGCCAACTTATTAATTGTTAATCTGTTACTTTAAGAAACACTTCAAGGCCGTTGCCAACTCTTACCATTTGCAATCGTAACTTGTGTTGTCATTAGCGCACAGCACTTATTTTCCCCACGCCATTTGAGACTGTAACTCAAGTCAACCTTTATTAATGCGCTTTTTATGAAGCGAAACAAACTAAACAGAAATGAAGTGGCGGGAAAAAATAGGCGACTCAAATCATTTGCTGCAGCTGTGGTACCCATGGTTACGAGACAACTCAGTACGCTAAAAATAACTTTAAAGTTCCTGTTTTAAAGTAAGAATCTATAGCATTGTCATCGGGTATGTAGTGAGAAAACAAATCCCGTCTTACGGTCAAAACTAATTTTATTAAAAAATAAAACAATTATTATGTAGAAATATGTTATAGTTTTAATAATGACAATGAAACAATTCACCTAACTGCAAAGCTGCCTTGGGCAACACAGAATATCCTAGAGATGATCCATTATCATTTCATATCGTCCCACAGCATTCTCTGAACTTTCGCAAGTGATATGCTGCATTTAAGGGAACAAAAAAATCTTTCGTAAACCTTTAAAAAGAGTAAGTTCAGATATTTTATTGTATAAAGCCACAAGCAAATCCTTAGATGTTGACAAAGAAACATAATTGCTCTCTAATTATAGCCTAAATCTCTGAAACCCTCCTAGAACATGTAACGAATATTATAAAGATTATAAAGATATTTCTGTGAATATGAAAACAAGCGTATTTTGTGTATTTCATGCATATTCTCGTATATAACTGTAATATTATGGAATTGTCTTCGGAATAGTCTCAAGAAAATTATTGTGCTATCTGGGATAGTTTAACATATAAACTTACTTTAAATCAATGCACACATATGCAAGTACTGCCACCAGCAAGCGTAAAAGTCCACCAGATATTCCGCAGAAGTACAGTTCAACAAAACAAGACAATCTACCCAAATTTCTGTCCCCAAGGGCTAAAAAACTGTTATAAAAGTTTTAGAATCATTAGGTTATTTTGAAGCAGGAGACGTGAAAAATGTGCAGTGCCGTAGAGGCACTCGAACACTGGACTCTTGAAACTGCGTCAAATATGCTTCCACTTACACCACGAAGGCATGTGGAAAAGGAGGGAGAAAATGCCTTATAAAATTACCACCAGATATTTATCTTGATAAGTACCATGTGAGGCCAGATATCGGGCAAAATGTGAGATGAAAATATTTTTTTTTCCATCTAAAAATTGGGAAGGAAGAATCTATCTCATTTCCTTCTCTATCTCACCAGGAAAGAAACCCGAGACAAACTGAGATTCGAAAAACATTTATTCTGGAATTGCGAATGCTTTTATCAAGGACCCGGACATAGCATGAAAAAGAAAATTTCTGGAAAGCATAGGCTTGCCGCGATTATTAGCCAGACAGAATTACTAAATGTTCAACGGGCTTACTCAGTCGGCAATTAGCTGACAGTTAAGAATTAAATTAGTCGTTTACATGCACGTGTATAAATACTGACCGAAACTCTGGTTCTGACAAAAATGTAAACGTAGTTTCCTATTCTCTCAGTGACAAAGCTTTTGAATTTGCTTATGAATCCCTGTATTTAAGGAGCATTTTTTAGTTAAATTTGTATAATTGCTTATTTTCGCACTGTTTCAGAATTTCTACACATTAAGGTGATATTATCATTAAAGGAAATAGGGAAGCAAAATATTTTAAATTATAAGCTAATATATACCAAATGATGACCCGATAGAAATGGTCATACCACTCAAGTGGTTAATAATACTAATAATTTATTTTTACTTCCAAGAAAGATTAAAATAATTAAATAATTGTAATTTCTTTTAAGATTTATGCATATAAGTTAGGGGGAAAAGGCAGAGTTATTCTGAAATTAAAAATCAATTTTGATTTTACCAGCGTGTTCGCCTTAAGAAAGGCGTTTTCTTGTAGATGAAATAAAAGATTTAAAATATCTCTATAATTCTCCCAATGAGCACAAAACTTCATAAATTTTGAAAATATAACATCTGGCAATTTTTAACATAGGTATGTGCACTTTCAAAATCCCTACTTACAGCGAAACTCGACTCAGGCACATTGCTCTGTTTAAAGTAGACAACCATATAAAAATAAATGAATATTCTAGGGCAGAAAATATTTATACTTTTGATTCTTAGAATGCTCATTTTAAAGAAATTTAAACATAAAGACATCAGACACTCTGATTATACGGAACAGTTTTGGATATTAGCACAATATCCGTTTCAGAATATGTACTGGGAAATGTTCCGGACTTTTATCAGTAGATGAAATGAAATTTACTAATGCTCCTCCATATAGATAAGGATACATTTTTGCAGCATCAGACTAGAATGTGTTTAATAAATAAATAATTTTGCGCTCTACATACATGTTTTAAGAAGTTAGATTTAAAAAAATGTTAAATGTTAGGAAAATCCTCGCGAAGGTCTTTTCCCTAAAGCAATAAGTCCTCATGAATTGCAGAATCAATTAATTACAAAAATTAAATAATGGTTCATGGCATCAAAATGAAATAAGAGCTAAAAAAACAGAAAGTTTTCCCATTTTCAAAAATAAATAAATAAATAAATAAATAAAATAAAAGCTTATCTTTATCCCACGAAATCAGGTATAGCTAATTATAGTTAATTGTACAAAGAGTTCTGTGAACAAACGACAAAGGAAAAGAGATATTTCGTTAAAATGTCGATGGAATAAGAGATATATTTTAAATTCTTTAAATTAGCTTCACTGTGTTTATACTTATGTTAAAACTGAGATGTTATAGATTCATTTAAAAAATATGTAATCTCTTTAATTAAACACATTTTTCTGCTGGAATAATCATATTCTTTGTTTATTATATCATTTTCATATATAATAATGAAATATCAAGAAAATTGATTAAATATGGATATTGTTATCTAGCTAAGTTTTGTTGAAATTTTGTAATTTGTGTGCAAAATACGGCCTCAGTCTCTGTTGTAATGCTTCCATAAAATAATGTATAAAGTTTTAAAATAGATGATAGCTGAATTGAGCTTATTTTGGACTCAAGCTCCCGTGAGGTATCGTGGTTACAGTCATCTTCTGTTAGCTTAGTTAGAGCTTTATTCGTTATAGATATTGATACATATTATGGCAATAATCAGAAAAAATGAAAACGCAATATCCATTTTATTTCTTACCTAAGATTCTCCTTCCTCGTTATTTTTCCAACAGCACGTCTCCACCAAAATACAGCAAAAGAAATTCAGAGCAGGAAAGGCACAAGTTGCGCAACCAAAAGACTGTGCGATTTGTATGGCTTGGTAGAAAATCAACAAAACGAAACAAACTATATTCCAAGTCATGGAAGAAGATGATTTCATTCCCAGATCTTTCCTGAAATAAGCTAATTAAAAAAAAAGGCAGTTTGAGAAAACTAGAATAAATATTCTGCAGTAAACCCTTGCCGAATGCGAACTTGCGAAGCTCGAGTTTGCATATGTGCGTTATCTCGAGTGTCTTCATTTCATATGTCAAACGCGAGAATTTTAGTTATACGCGGAATGCTGCTTAGAGTCGGCTGCGTTGCGGTAGTCCTCTTGATAACTGGTTTGAAAACTCATTCATTAACGAAGTCAAACATTGATTAGAACAGCAAAATTTGAATTTAAAGTTATCCTTATCTTTGATAATGGTACAGGACACGGTGCTGCAGAGCCGTGCCACGATATTTTTTCACCTGATGCGCGCCCTATAGCTCTATGTGTATTAAATTAGTAAAATGTATTAAACAAAAGTAAATGTATTAAATCAAAATATCATAATTCTTATAGCATAATCATAACATAATTCTTATTTTTTAATAGTAGCTTTATAAATTCAGAAAAAATAATACAGCCAATTATTTAAAACTTTCAAATGAAAATGTTAAAAAATTCTTTTTTGATAAATAACAAATAACATCGAAATGCACACTGCATTAATATCCAGATTTTCTTACAATTCTTCCTATTATTTTATTAATTTAAGTTTGCTGAAGCTTATTTCCCCTAATAATAACTGACAAATTTAAAAAGATTGTAGAGACATTTGGTTATTGGAAGCAGGAGAGAGATTGAAGAATTAGCAACCGCCTTCGCCGGGAATGGAACCACGGACCGCTGGAATACCGGCCCAGCGTGCAAAACCACTACACCCCGAAGGCAAGCCAAGAAGGTGGGAGATATACCTTATAAGATAATTAAAGTAATTTTCGAATTCGTATGGCCAATTTGGTGCCCCCTCTAGTGATTCATCTGAGGCAAGTGCCTCACTTGCGTTCTTGCGTTACCCTTGTCCCGACTCTGCAGTGCTGCAGTGTTCCTCATAATACTGCATCCATTCTGTGGAAGGTTTTATTCCTTCCACCGAACACCACATCGTTAATCCAATCAATAGATCAAGGAACCATAAAAACATTCAAAGCCTATTGTGTCAGACATGTTTACATCTCTGCAAATAAAACATTACATGAAAAAAAAAATACAATAATAACATTTTGAAATCAAAACTGGCCTGGGAGCACGTGAATTCAACAACAATGGATGTTTGTTGGCATCAACTGTGCCGAGAAGTTGAAACAAATCCTTTCAATTATCATTTTTACCTTTCAATTACACTAATATTTAGATTTGTATAAATTATACATAGTTTCTTAATTGAATTATACCTAACCCATTTTCTTTATAGAAAATTAACTTTACGGAACACGATTTTGACGCACTCTCAACGTAATCCACAGCATTAAGCAAGGGTTTACTGTAAGATAAATATCAGGAATAATTCGTGGAAAAATAAATTATTAAATGCTTAATTCCATAAAAAATGTAAATTACTAAATTCCATTTAAATTAATAAATTATTAAATTTCATTATAAATGTAGAGCTGTAGAGCTGAAATTTGTATTTATGTATTTCATTCAGAATAAAGCCAAATATTGAAAAGTAAAATACCCCGATGAAAATAGAATTTGCGGCTCTAATGACTATAAGTTTTTAAAACTGAAATTGATAAAAAACAACAACTAAAATACATGTTTCTTTAATGCGTAAATCGATAGCCAGTGTTAGCTAACATTAGATATATTTAACGTGACATCCTGTTTGTGTCAACTGGAAAATATAGAAAATTTTTCATAAATATGTACGAATATCTTGATTTTACTCTAGCATAATAATGCACTTAAGTATAACATGCATGAAGGTTTTTGCTGAAGTTCTGTGTCGAGAAAACTAAATTTTTTCGTTATTTTCTCAGCTGATTTTTATTTTCTTTCTACTGGATTTTGTGTACACATGAACAAATAGATGCATGTAGATAAATATCAAAGTAATAAAATCGAGTACATACAATTTTCTACGATACTTGAAAAAAAAGGGTCGGTTTTTCTAAGAAATAGAAGAAATAATCATAACACCTTAAATTCAAAACAAAGTAGATCATTAAGTTTGAACACATATATTATATACTTGCTGCTCATAACAGCCGCATACTGCCTGAATTTTTAAAGAACAAGATAATGAACATTGAGCTTAAGAGTCTTTTAGATTCGGAATAGCAGGTGACATATGTTGCGCATGCAGTTATTAAACAAATAGCTTTTTCACAAACACATTGAGCTAAGTGCTATTAGTTTAAAAATTTTCGTAACGTTATTAAATGAGTCACGCATTAGTCTTTTAATATAAATGTAATTTACGCATGTTGATATCAGCTGCAGAATTTTTGTTCTGTAATTAGTAAGAATTAAAGCTTGAGCGATGCCATCTTATTTTTAGAAATTCAACTAGTTACTGAAAACAGTTAAGTTGCCTGCATTGTTCCCCATATATGTTTGTGTAAAAATGCAAATTTTTCTTTCCGTCTAATTTTTTTCTTCAAAATTATTAAAGACAGTTTGATACAGTTAAGGTGGGAAAAAAACCTTTTCCGTTAATATTTAATTTTTAATAACTCAAAAAAGATATTTTAACAAGAAATAATATCTTATGAAACTTGTAAATTGTCCTTAATTATTCGTAATTCGCAACAACATTCTCCTTAATTATATAGCTTAAAGATATCCTGTGGAAAAAATTTAATTTATAATAAATGTGAAAGTAAATGGAGAATTGCATCGTAAGATAATTAAATATATAAAGTCAAATTTGCTTTCAAAGTAAAAGCCGGCCTATCGAATTTTTGGTTTCAAATTTACATAAAATATTAAGTATAGTTTCCCAATGGCATTTTTAAATATGTTTATAAGATCAACATTTTTAAATATGTTTTATTTTGTGAGGTGTATTTTAATTTTAAAATAGTTATTTTTAATTTTGAAACCCTTTCCTTTCGATTCTTATTTCCCACTTACAACTAACTACCAGAATGAGGTTTTAGAATCGCTTTGAAGGCAAATGAGTTAGAAGAAGCATTTAAAAGAAGTTAAACTTCGAGAGAGAGTGCTTGGGACCCCTTACTGACGCGTGCTTGGCTTCCGGCTATTTCATTCTACAATCTACTACTTTCGGTCGTATTGTACGTGCCTGTTGATAATCGTTGGCTAGTTTAATTTAAAGGCCATCTACGTTAGGTATTTGTGTCTAGCTTCCGCTAAGTCTAATTATTTTAGTATTAGATTAGTTCTTGTTTTCTTATCTTAATATAAAAGCCCAAGTGGAGGCTTTCTTGTAAGCCCTAGAAGGAGCCATCTGTTTTTATTTCCTTGAGAGAATAAAAGGCTATTTCAACCCTTCTTAAGTCTCTGTAGCTACTATTTGAACTCAGCGATAATTCGCTGCTTAGTTCAGTAGATTCCTCAAAATTAAATCTAGATAAAGTATCGAGGAACATTATAATTTTACAACCTCACGTAAAGACTGGATTATTTACTTTAAATAAAGCACCTGAAGGCTATCTGGGCATTTACGAGAGATAATATCGAAAGGTCTTCCTTCTTTATATTTTACATTGTTCGTGAGGAATTCCGTTATGCAAAAAGTACTCTTCAATTCAAATAAGCGTGAATTATTTCCAGCTATAAATCCCAATTCCTCTTACATTCAGATACTTATTTCCTACTTATACATCATTCATTTATTAAAGCTATAAATTCAAATTATGCGAGTTGAATATACGATCTGAGCGCAGCTGACGAGTCAGAATTTTTTTTAATAAACTGAAGAATTTTCTCAATAAGATAAAAAATATATTAAATAAATTTTACGTTTCTCTTACTAAATATTTATCAAAAGGTACATAAACCAAATAACAATATTGCAAGGAAAAAATTTTAATTTACATTTATTTTCCACCTGAAATTTAAAATTTAAAATTTGACACCTGTAAAATATCTGAAGTTTGATACGTTACTCTTTCAAATAATTTGTCAGCTAAATATTAAATATTTAGACTGACATTCCTTTCAAATAAATCGAACATGCTTATTTAATTATTAAATAACTTACTAAAAATAAACAAATTATAAAAACTTTCTAAGTATTTACAGAAAATTTACCAAGTAGAGCAAAACTTGAGAATAAATCATAGCAAAATACCTCGTTCTCTTCTTTATTAAATTCAAAGCATAAATAAAAATACATATGTTTGTATGAAAATAATTATAAACTTCTTTATTCTTACTATTCCGATTTTGATAAAGTTTGTATCCTCGGAGAAAAATTACTAGAAATTATCTTCATTTCGGATTGTAGATGCCCATCGGCCAATCGGGTTCTTTCCTTATTAATTTTCAACTGTGGAAAAAAAAAAGCTGTTCATATTCACTTGTTACTAAACAAAGCGATTATTCGTAAATTAATTAAGATTAAGAATTCGTAACTGAGCTTATTTACTTTTTTGACAAGTGCGAACAAAAGTTATAAAAATCTGTATCTTCGAATCTTAAAATAAGATTTATATCACATTGTAAATTCATTAACATTATTATTTTATGAAGTGTAATTCATGTTCGCTTTTAATGTAAGTGTAAATAATATAAATTCAGACTTCAAATAACTAAAATCTTGAAATCTTAGTAACACCTCATTTGTAACAAATAGATAATTAAAATGTCTTCGCAGCCCGCATAAAATTCTTCAGGGTATCATGCAGCTCACGGGCCGCCATTTTGAGACCACTGCATTAAGCAATAACACTCTTATTATACCATAAATTACTTTTTATTTTATCATTACTATTATACCTAACTTGCTTAACTAAGCTTTTCTTTCACACAGAAGAAATTATGCCTCCGAGAGGTTAAGAGTTTCATTTAAAGCCTGAATTCTTCCCAAATAAAACGCCATGAGGAAGACATCTTTTCTTAATTTTAATTCCAAAATGCCCACCCAATTTTATTCGGGCTATTTTCCTTCTAATCCATTTTATTTGTAAGTATTTCCAAATGCACGAAAATATACTTTCTTAAAAGTATTAAGTATTCTTAAAGGTAATTGAAAGTATACACTCGGCATAGCCCCTTGAATGAACTGCTTAACATTGTTCTTCAAGTTGCTCATTGATCTCGCTTTCAAACCGATTATTTTATATTTTTATTTATTTATTATTGTTATCATTACTATTAAGAAAAAGTTAATTCCCTTTAATTGTTTAGGTGATACTAACTGCCAGCTGGGGATTTAACGAATAACCATTCTAAAAGAGATAGGTGGAATCCAACAGTCTTAACAGTAAGGAATCAGAAGCAATCTTATCATCTAAAAGTAAGCAATATTTGAGAAATGAAAATTTCAGGAAGCAATACGTATTTAATAAAGTAGCCGAAATCTATTATATATATATATATATATATATATATATATATATACTCTGTATTTACTCTGTATTTGATTATATATATATATATATATATATATATATAATCAAATACAGAGTAACCTATCTATATACATTTCCCTATTCACTCATTACATCATATGACTTCAAATTTTAAGCGCACTTTTTATTCATATTGCTAAGTTGTAAGATCAGGGAGAGGTATAAGTTCTAAGGGAATGATTTATCACCTCATTTCTACCAAACCTTGCAGGGATAGGGGGTTGAATAATTATGATCCTAAAAATAAAAATGATTTTCCAATGGGAACTTTTCAATACCTGTTATAAAGACATTTTTATTTTTTACTAATATTTCAATTTTCCGATTTTAAAATGATCCTGGGTTTTAATTCCAGGGCGGCTATTTTTTGTTACTTTTTTCAGTTTTCCAATTTTAAAATCTTACTGTGACTTAAATTCGAAGTAATACTATATTTACTTACGTTTTTCTTACTTATTATGTAATGTCAATTATTTTGATAGTAATGTTCTTACGTAGAGGTGGCCTAGTCTTTTCCAAATGAGTCACAGCACTGTAATTGGCAATGATCAATCTATGAAACCATCAGAACATTGATTTGCAATTACAGTTTGACCGTAGAAGAAACGTAAGTCATTATTCACGCCTGGCATATGAAAGCTAAACGCAGTGCTTTAGAAATGATACATGACCGAAACCTGCTCGCTTATTAAACATTATGAAAAAGTCTTTACGGGTCGAAGATGTGATTTATGTAAATTAAAAAGCCAAGAAAAGGGGTTAATAGAAAAGCTGCCTACCGAAAATCCGGAGAGAAAGTCTGTTTACAAATGCCAGTGACTTAGCTATAACCGAAAACAGGAAGTCATTTTTCAGGTACGATGTATAAAACTAAAACCATCAATACCAGTAATGCAAAACAAGTTTTCTGAATGACAAGAGGGCTTGGTAACAGTCCCTTACCTGATAAGTGTCACGATCGAAGTAAGATGTTATCGTCGAAGACCTTAAATATCGTAAGCAGATGGGAAATGAAATGTGACAATGCAGAAACCCGACGTGTTACAGCTGCCGCAGAGATGTCAATAAATTGTCACTTCGTATTTCCTTTCGTTCATTTGAAAGCCTGACTGGCGACAATTCTATAACGAGCCCTTAATTTGAGCACTGTTAATGCATGAAAAAAAAACCTGGTGTTCAACCTGGTGAGTAATTAATACACAACATATGTACAGAATAAAGAAACTAGCTGCGTAAGGGCTGATATTTGTTGAGTCTTATTTACTTTGTAAAGAGGAAAAAAACAAGAGAGAAAAGAAAGGTGAAACATCATCTCTGATTGTTACTTAACATAAATCAAATATGTCTCTGACTATATCTGTACCTATAATAAATAGTATTCATGTGTTTGTCTTTCATACGAATCTAGAGTTTTATTCCGGATCTTGATGAAATTTGGTCCACTTGACTTTCAAAGAGAGAGGAAGTTTACTGTATATATATATAAGACTCCCCCAAACCACCCAACGGACTTCACATTCTTTATACACATATAAAATTTTAGACTAATAAAACTTTAAGTGAGCACCTGATCTTTGCTCTTACAAAAGTTAAGTAGAATTGTAAATTCTACGTAAGAGCGAAGATCAAACACCCACTTAGAGTTTCAGGAGATTGCTGGCGTGTTTCGTCCGCTGGAACCACTTTTTATGAAAAACTGCCTTATAACTAATTTTGCATAATTACCTTCCAGATTTTGAAGAGTACTTGATCTCCATTATATCTCTTTTTATTAAATTTACATTTTATGTAATTCCAAAAATAAGCTTCGAATAGGATGAATATTTGCACATTCTACTGAATTACCTAGATCTGAAGAATTTCTTTTACTTCCAGATTTTTACTTTATGTCTGCATAACCCGCATTTATTCCATTCGTCTTCCTATTACTGATAGGAAAAATTACATTTACGTGAGAGATTTTGAATACTGAAGTTCATATGAATGTTGAATAAAGAGAACAAATCCGGCATAATTGACGAATACTCTGAATAATAAAATTTTAAGAAAACATCAGCTTCATTCACGTGAATAAAATAAATACATTCTCAAAAAAAAATCATCCAGGAAATCTGTCACAACATAAACGATCTACAAATATATTTTTAAGTATTTAACTATTTCAAAAGCTTAAGATAAATCAAAAAAGTATCGAGATTTCATTGGGATATCTTCAAAGAGATAAAACAGCAAAGATAAAATAGTTTTCAATAGGAAAGAGAAAATAGTTTCGAAATGTCTAAACGACTACCTAGAGCACACTCTCAAAACGTTTGCGAAAAGACAATGACATCACAAATACATAAATTTTATGGAACATGACATTATTTAAAAATTTTCGTTTGAAATTTTAGTTCTGATATAGGAAAATACACATTAAGTAATTAAATGTGGGTATTCGTGCACATGTTTGTAAAAAAACAAATATATAAATTTTTAGGAAAAATTTGCATGTTTTCTATTTTGGTAATAATACTGGTAAGTTAGGAAAATTTTCTGTACTGAACATATGTGTCTACGAAATTCTTTGGAAAAAGCGGAAAGTAAATAATCATTTCGATACTTCACTAGAAATCAAGTGTTATAGTTGAAAAACGATTTAAAAATTAACCAAAAGCACAACGAAGTACATATACACTGGTAAGTTAGGAAAATTTTCTGTACTGAACATATGTGTCTACGAAATTCTTTGGAAAAAGCGGAAAGTAAATAATAATTTCGATACTTCACTAGAAATCAAGTGTTATAGTTGAACAACGATTTACAAACCAAAAGCACAACGAAGTACATATATAAATTATTTTGCTAATCGGTTATGAACTTTTAAGTAGGATATATCCAGAATCTTCAAAATTAGTAATGAAACGTTCAATTTAACCTTTGCGATTTTACTAAAGAAGTTTCTGTAATAGTAAAATGCTGGTTAAAATTATGCTAAAAGAAGGAAAAATATGCCCTTTTTAAAATATTCGCGTATTACTTAATAAAAATGAAATCATGGCTTCGGTTCAGCAATGCAATACAACGTGTTAAGTAAAAAAGTTTCTAAACTGAGTTTTTATGTCACGTACGAAATGTATTGAAAGAGCGAAAATTAGTAATATATTAGCAGTGGACTAGGAAACAAATTTTCATAGATGATACTGTGGTATGAAAATTAATAAAAAAGTATAACATGTAAAAATTTTTCTTCGCAACAGGTTATGAATGTTTTCGTTTCAGTAGAATGAAGTTAGAAAGTACAAATTTGGTAATGAAACACTCATTTCGCCTTTAAGATTTTAGTAAAAGATGCAATAAACACATTCACTTGAAATGTAATGCAGTAAGTTAAAATATAACTCTGATTCATCAATAAAATATATTAGTTATGTACAGTTAATTGTTCATTTCGAATATGATACAGAAGAAACTTTTAAGTCAAAGAGAAACACATTTACAAAACAATGATTTTTATTTTATTACTAATTTAAATAATTTCAAAGCGCTGATGTTTCTTATGAAGATGAGATATTTTCTTATACATGTTTCTAATGAAATTAGTATATAAACTTTTAAGAAAGAAATAGACTTCATGAGAAAATCTATGACAATGCAAGTCAGTGATCGTGGTGACTTAGAGAAAATATTCCAAGTCTGTATGAGTTGGGTTAAAAATCTCTATTATCTACATACGAATACGTCAATGTCAGAGAAAACTAATCTATCCCCTAGATTACTAAGATAAACATTCCATTTCTTTTCTTAACTTCTTGTTTAGCGTGGTAGTGTTGTTGAAGTTAAATCTTCCACACGTGTAACAAAATTATTAAATCAAATAACATAACTATTTAGTAAAAATTTGTTCTCAAGACTTTAAGAGGCATTGTAAACGATAAGTAGGAAAATATTTGAAAATTCAATGATTTGCAGTAGCAGTAATGTAAAAGTGGTAATCTTCAAAGTGTTCAAAAGGTTATCGAAAAGGTACTTCACAAAAAACTGTTTGTGAAAACATCACAGTCATCCACAATTAACTTTCGTCAAGACTGGAAATTTTATGTTCAAAATTTACTTGGGATGCAGGAAAAGAAATATTAAAGGCTTCAAAATGAAAATACTCATGCAAACTTTTATTTCAGGAAATAGTCACTTAACTTCTAACTTGTTTGCAATTTTGTTAAATAATATGTAATGAGCATTTGTATGCTGGAAAAAATAACAAACATTTAATTATATGGCAATGAATCAAATTTCATTGGAAATGCAATGGCATGAAAAGTAAAAAAAAATTATATCTGTATCGAAAATCTTGATGTTAATTTCTGCGTCTGTTTGTTTTTAACAGAAATAGTTAAAGGCTCCTAGATCGGTAATGAACTACTAAATTTGGTCAGTTTTCATCAAAATCGCAGAAAGAAGTTCTCTGTTATGATAAAATATTATTTAAATTCTCTAGCTTTGTGACTTCCCTCAGACATTGGCAAGACCAAAGATAACTGTGTGTTTAATAGGATGCTTCAAAGATATTAAAGAAATAACAGTTGGGTAAAAATATGAACATTTTCAAGAAACAAATGTTCTCTTATTTACTTTTGGTATTATAATTATAAACAAAATGCAGAAATTAAGTAAATACGTAGATAAATCTCAGGAAAAACGGTAAATTAACATGAAACGTTTTCTTAATGTCTATGTAAATGGAAAACAGTGATCGTAATAAATTTGAAAAAAAACCATAGTTCATATACAGTGCATTAAAAATTTGCACCCGATCTATAAATTCAGGAAAATCAACGAAAAGAGTCATTTATCACGTTCGCTTGCTTACAGTATATTTTCTTTTCGTTTTAATCTTTTTGCTTTTGAGTTGTATTATTTCTGAATATGAAGCTTTAAAACACAAAAGCACTCTAATTTATTAACTTGCGCCTAAATGTAGAGTACAGTCAACCAAATGGAAGATTTTAGTATAAATAAATGTACTACAGACAAAATCAAGTTAAAAATTCTTCATTATTTTTCATGCTCTGTTCATGAAAATAGTTAAGGTTTTTATTCCTGACTTATCACATTCGGTACATTTTCAGAAAAAAATAATCCTTTTTTGTTCATGTTTTGCATACTCAGATACTAATTTTGTTGGAAATCTGACATTTTCTTATTCCATTTTTATATTTCACTGTTAAAGTCTGGCTTGAGAAATTTTTTCCATGGATATGGCATACTTCTCCTATATCATTGCCACTGTTCTAATAAATTATATTACTAACAAGTGTGAATAAAATTCCTAGTTATACAGGAATTATGTTGAATGTTTGCTTAATCTGAAATGCAAAAATGTAACCCATGTGCAAAAATAGAGCAAATTAATCTTAAAAAGTTCTCCATGAATATATTTTTGTTTCATGGTCCTTACATGCTTTTCTGTATTTATCACTTAAGTTCTTGTGTACCTATCTTTTATCTAATTTGTGAAGTTTAACTGATTTTAAAGTACATGTATATTTTGGTCAATGCGTGGGGAAATGAGGAACTGTGGCACCTGAGTGTTCTAAGCATTCCATACTGCATTTTTTCTTAAGAGTACAGTTCGATTAAAAGAGAAATGTGTTTCGTACTTTGTGAAATGTATTTTATTTACTTATTGTGTCATGCTCATGATAAATAAAAATGTTATACATGTGCGCAGGATTGTGTGGCTCCAATGTTTAATTAAAATAATGCTTTTTGAAAAGTGTAGTCTTTCTTATGATAAGTCATATTAAAATGCGTTAAAATTTTTAAAGTTGGTGACTATAGTAGATCATTATATAGAGTTTCTGTCATTATTACCAATTATGTATGATATTTGTGTGTAATTGTATTTACTATATATGAGAAGTTAAAATGTCAAAAAAAGCTGTAAAAGTTC